TTCATTCGGGTCAAATAGAGATTCTAATCATGGTATGGATCAATTTATAAGTTATATGATTTATTTTAATATTTAACCGATATTTCATCTGAGTAATTAGTTTTAAAACTAAATCATGCATGTTATGTTATATTATGTAGTACTTTGATGAATTCAAGTGTGGTACTTACTCGAAAGACAGATTGGAAGAAATTAAGGAGGAATGGTGTCAATACATTCTTGAGTTGAGAATTGTATAAGGTATATATATTGTCAAATATTGATGCGGGATAATTATATTTCTGGAAGTTGTATGTAGTTTTGGCGCTATATGTGTAGTACTAAATGTATTTGTAAAGTTATCGATTTTTTAATTATATGTATAGTGACTGTATTTGTGAAGTTGTTCTGAGGATCGACTTGTGTTGAATTATAAGCAGGTTTATGTGTTGAATTACAATGATTATGGTATATATAAGGCCAAAGTGTTGAATTAAAGGCCTGGATTATAAGCAGGTGAATGTAATTGTTATAAGCAGGTTTATAAAAAAAAATATAAAAAATGGTGCAACATAATTCAACAAAAATCGTTTCTAAAAACATATGAAAAATAGACAATGCTTTTACCAAAAAACGCTATGAAAAAGTGATTTTTAAATTTTTTTTAAAGACGTGAAGAATAGACAACGCTTTTATTGAGAAAGCGATGCTAAAGGGAGGGGGCATAGAGAGCGCTCAAGAAAGCGCTGCTATAGGGGGGAAGGGGGGAGGGGGAAAGACAACGCTTTAAAAAGCGCTGCTAAATGGGGGGAATAGGCAGCGTTTTTCTTAAGAAAAGCGCTGCTAGGGGGGGGGGGGATAGGCAGCGCTTTTCAAAACGGATCTACAATAGGTCGAGAGCCCACTAGAGATCTCCAACTTCCTTATGCCTAGAACCTATCGAGTTCTACGTTGTCAACATGTTAAGATCCCACTAGGGCTCTCCGACTTCTCTATGTCTAGAAAATACTGAGTTCTATGATGTCAATAGGTTGAGATACCACTAGGGATGTCTGACTTCTCTATGTCTAGAATCCATCGGGTTCTATGACTTCAAATATATGCCAGGAATTAATTCATCCTCAATATCATAAACTTAAAGGGAGTTTACTCTATTAAAATATGATTATGAGATGTTTATGTGATCTGAGATAAACTCAAAACACTTCACCCTTACATGCCTCGTGCTTTGGGGGCTTATGTACATTCTGAGATTTTTTTTAGGACCAGAAGCGAGTTCCATACACATCTCAGACTCAATTCATCAGGCTCTGAAAGGATTGTTCAAGTTGGAGCCGTTATGATGCCCTTAGAACAATCAATGGCAGGATCCATTACATAATGGTTAAGGATTGAATCAGTTACAAATTGTTAATAGTTACTAACACCTATTAAGAACCACACCTTTTCGGTATCCATATGGGAAGGTTTGTAATATAAATAAACCCTTGAGACCAAACATTAGGGGGAGATATGATGATGAATAACATAAATATGATGGAAGATGAAAAACCTTGGACCACCAAGAATGATGGCTATTCATCCCTCCCAAAAACCTAAAAACAAAAAAAAAAATCCCTTAACTATTGTGATTCCACCTGACTAGCTAAATGGGGGATTAATCAAATGATACTTAAGGTAAGAAAACCTATATTAATGTAGACATTCAATCTGCTAACAAAAACAAGATCCATCAATACCTTTATCCAAAAACCTTGTTATCCAGAATAACCTTCTCCAAGTATTCGTGGGTGGCGATCCCCCTGATCCCACCAATTTCTTGTCTGAGCAACTTCTATTAACTGAGTGTATATTATACAACTCCCAACTTTGTTTGTGAGCTGTCTTTCTTCAATGCCACCAAAGAAAGACAGCTTCCAACTCCGCCTTACAGACCGTTGATATTTGATCTCGCCAAATTCTTTTTTGGAGTATATTGAAACTCTCTTCTTGATATATAACAATAAAGACTAAATTGCATTTAAGAAATGATATCTGCACTTGTTAAAAACAACAAACTTCACACAAAAACATTATATACCTTAATTGTACCACTAGTCTCCTTCAACACTCAATCGTTAGAGATAAAGGTCTTCAACAATGAAAAAAGACTAAAGATGAAGATGGTGAACAATTCTAGGATATCTCACAAACAATCTAAATACACAAGGTGTTATCCGAGGAATCAGATGAATGTGAATGAATAACTCACACACAAATTTCTCTAAAAATTCTAGGTAAATGACTCTTGGTTCTTTATTATTATCATGAGCTTGGTTAATCATAAACAACACACAATATTAATCAAATCACTCTCTCTAATTCACAAGCAACAACAACAAAATTACATAAGAACAATGTGCAACAAAAAAAGTGAGTTTGACATGAATTACAATCAAGAGGTTGTTCTAGAGAATAAGAGAAAGATTCACGGTGATGCGTATAATAGACACACTAAGAAGAGAAGAAAAAACTACATATTTTATCTTTATGGGTTTCACTCATATGTTTCACACACTTGTTACTTTTACCAATGAAACAAATATTTAAATCAAAGATGGAAAATTGGTCTTGTGGAGCTTTGGTTCAAATCAAGAAGAAGTTTTGATTCAATTTTAATTTGAGTAAAACCCAAATATGGCTTCATGAAGATAGTTGATTCAAATCATGATTTTAACTTCATTCGGATCACATGAGATTGTGATTCAAATCATGTTCTATTTGTGATTCGAATCAATTTTTCCATAGACAATTCCCAGTTTTTACAAAGCTTCTGATTTGAATCATGTTTAACACGTGATTCAAACCAAGTACCTCAACATCCAAATTTAAAAGCTCTAACTTATGATTCAAGCTATGCTTGATGAAACGACAAAGTAGCAAAGGCTAAAAAACAAACAATATCATGGATCAAAAGACTCTTGTTTAATTGAGCAAGAAAGGTTCTTAGTGGCACAACAACATAATAGTCTAAGCGATTATAATTGAAATGAAATACGAATAAAGTACAAGTACACAAATATTGAATGAAAAACAAATTACAAATACACAAATATATTAAAACAAATACATTCAAAATGACAAAACATCAAAACAACTAAGCGATACCAAACGATATCGTGACGACACTTTCAGATTCTTGGTTATGGCATATGAGCTTAAGTCACATGCATTTCGACTTAATAAATAGAATAACATCCAATAATCTAGTGATCGATCTTCCTAAAATTAAGTTTCAAAAGACAAATTATGTGATGCTTGCCAAATGAGAAAGCAAACAAGAGTGTCATTTAAATAAAAAAGATTGTTTCGACATCAAAACCTCACGAGCTTCTCCACATAGATTTGTTTGGCCCTTCGCAGACAAGAAGTTTAAGAGGCAATTATTACGGATTTGTGATTGTTGATGACTACTTTAGATTCACTTAGACATTATTTCTTATCCATTAGGATGAAGCATTTGAAGCTTTTGTTAATTTTTCTAAGCTTGTCCAAAATATTTTTTGTGAAAATTATCACACTCAATAGTGATCATAATGGTCAATTTGTTAACCATCATTTTGAAAATTTTTGTAATGAAAACGAGATTGCCTATAACTTTTCATGCCTAAGAAGAATTGGTGGAGAAGCTTAGGCTATCAATTTTTAGCATAATTTATCATTTATTTTCGTAGGATAATTGCATGCTTAGGTTATCAATTCTTAGCGTAGTTTATCATTTATTTAATTACTACTGATTTGTTACGTAAGGTTAGATTTTTTTAGAATCAATACTTAATTGAGCTTTAATGGTGATTAAGTTTTGAAAAATTAGTGATGTTAAAATACAATATTAATTTAATCAATTGTATACGACACATCTCGTGTAATACACAATTACTCAATTAATCATTATAATCTATGAGTTTTGTGAATTATGTATTGTCAACGTGGTTGAATTTCAAATAAAAACACGAGTCTCTATTTTTGATTTAAGAATTTCAAATAAAAGCAGAAGAATCAAAAGGTAAATATCATCACCAAAAAACGGAACTAAATGCTAAAAGCTCACACGTGCGCTTGTGGTTTGTTCTTTATTTATTTTCATAAGATAAAAAATGTAAGATTAATGTGTGCTCTTAAAGTTTTAAAGGTGTATAACACATGCATACACAAACACACTAAAATATATTTTTAAACTTATATTTTTCAAAACTATTTTTAAGAACATATTGGTTTGGACAAATTTTTTAAAATTCAAAATTTTATTGCTTAAATTATTTATTTAATCAATTATATAAACGTAAATGAATATGGGTGAACTCGCTCGATAATCAATTAAAATAGCCTTTGAATCGATAATGATTTAAATCTAACCAATATTTTTTTTTATAGATCATAATTGAATATTGCAAAAGCCAATTATTTATGATGCGGATGTAAATCTAAAAACCTTCATTTCTTGCTCTAATATTTTACTATAAAAAGAAGACTTATAATCATGTGACAAACACAACAGTTATAGGTCATAATCTATTATGACCGCAACCTGATTAATTACGCTGAAAATCCGATCAAATTAGCTCAAAAATTATTTAATATTAAGAGAACAAACAATAAATAGAATTATATTGTGTAAACTCTTACAATTGTGACATATGATTTGAAATAAGGGTAACCAAGAAAATAAATGATCTATATAATCAAACTAACCTAATAATTTCAATGACTTCCAATTTTCCCTCTAAACATCCCATCGTCTGTCATATCTGTCAGCATAGGACCCCACACTGCTCCAACCAGCCAGCCAGCGGCGCCATTTAGTCTTTACTTGGATTCCAAGCTCACCCACCCCCCTCTCTTTTTCTTTCTCTATCTAATCTTCTCATCTCATCTTTCAAATATCTCTCCCTAATAAAATCCTTTATCTTATTCTTATTTTCTCTTTAGAATAGAACCCTCTTCTCTTCTAAAAGGAAAAAACACAGCAAAAGAGAGAAAAAATGTTCTCAAACTTTCAACAACACCACCACAATCTTTTTCAATCCCCTCGTGAATGCCAAACCTCAGAAGACGATGAAAGTCGAGGCAGCGGTGGGCCCGGCTCATTAACACCCCACAAACCTTTCTCCGCAATCAGCGGAAGCAGCGACGGTGCCACTATTGAGATTGGCCGTAGGCCTAGAGGCCGTCCGCCTGGGTCCAAGAACAAGCCCAAATCCCCGCTCATAATTACTCACGATCCCGAGCCCGCGATGAGCCCACACATTCTTGAAATCCCAGGAGGTAGCGATATCGTTGAAGCAATAGCCCGGTTCAGTATCAGAAGAAAAACCGGGTTATGTATATTATCCGGTTCAGGTACCGTCGCTAATGTTACACTTCGTCAACCTTCTGGTCCTCCTGGCACCACCGTTATTTTTCACGGCCGTTTTAGTATCCTCTCCATATCCGCCACGTTCTTTGTCCCAACAGAATCTTCCCCGCCGATGAATAAAGAATTCTCGATCTCCCTCGCCGGACCTCAAGGTCAGATAATCGGAGGGTTTGTCGTTGGAAGGTTGCTAGCTGCTGGAACGGTGTTTGTGATTGCTGCTTCGTTTAATAACCCTACTTATCATAGACTACCTTTGGAAGAGGATGTTCGGAATAACTCAGTTTCCGGCGGTTGTGATGAGAAGTCGCCGCCGTTGTCCGGTGGTGAGTCGTGTATGTATAGCTGTCAACTTCCTTCCGATGTGATTTGGGCTCCAACGCCGAGAACGCATTTCTGAGTTCTGATGAATTTGTAATATGGGTGGTATTTGGTTTTAGTTGTGATGGTTTTGTAGAAATTAACCATGTTTTTGTAATTTTGTATTAAGTAGTAAATTAGATGTTAATTACTATTTTGAGGGGGAGTTTATTTTCTATTTTTATTTTAGTTTTTGATTTTGGATTTGGATTTTTGTTTTTGTTGTGTTGCACTTAATTGAGAAGAAAGCAAAGTCATATACGTTTTTCTTTCTCAAGAACAAGATAATTCGGTTTATGCCTAATTTCTTAAGAATTTTTTTGGTGCACATAAATATATCTAATATTTGTTTTACTTAATTGTCCATTTTAATCAGTTTAATAATGAAGAATATGTTAAAATTAAATGAATGTATTTTGGTTTGTTGAATGGAGAAATTATAAGCATATTGTTCGGTAACACAATGGCTACCGCCACCGTATTTTAAAAGCTGTTTCACCTTGATTTTACATTTTAGAGTACTTTAAAGGCTTTTTCACCTTGATTTGAAAAGCTAACATGCGTAGATTTGTCCTGCCTTGATTGTCCACGGGTATGTATCTTTTAGTTCTGCAAACAGTGCGGAATTGATTTTGAATTAATTAATTATAGAAAATTGATTGTAATTAAAAGTAAATTAAAGTAATTTATATTTAAATATATTTAAATAAGGGAAACTTTAAAGGCTTTTTATGTTGATTTTCAAGTTTTTCTATCGTAAATTTTACTTATTTTTTAAAAATAATTTTTATGCTATTTAATATTTTTATAAAAATTATAATTATAAAAATTTAAATAAAAATGAGTTAAATAGTAATTTTTAAAATTATTATTTTAAATACTTCATCTTTTTTTTTAATCTAAAAATTTAAAATTTCATTTAATTATTTTAAATATTTTTTCAAAAAATATATTTTTGAGATAAACTTTTAAAAATAATTATAATATTTACTATATTTTAATTTTAATAATATATTTATGTTATAAAATCTCAAAATTATCATTTTTTAATTTAACAAATAAATTTAATTTTTTAATGTATTAAAAAATAATTTTATTAAAAATAATTTTATTTATTTATTTTAGAATAAAGCAAAGAGACATTTACTGTGTTAATTTGATTGTTTTTTCTTTTTTATTTGTGACACTAAAGATTGCAATTTTTAAATATTTTTTCAAAAATCACGAAAATTGCGCTGAAAATTCATATACTATTTATGTTTAACCCTTTTAATTTTTATCATTTAAAATAATTCATATTTTAAAAACAATATATAGACTAATGCTTAATAATATTTTATGTTTTTGAAATTATGCATAATTTTTTAAGTACATTTTGGTATGATGATTAATTTTATTGATTATCTCTATTAAATGCTCATAAAGGTGAGTTTGAGAGTTATATCTAATTTAAATTCTAACTCTTTTAATTAAATTGGAGGAGAATTTTAATAATTTAATTCAAATGCTTTGTTTATTGTGGTAAAACGGACCAATTTGCTCCGCTCCATCCAAATTTATGTTTTTTTAAAAAGTTAGATTGAAAGGTCTGTTAAATGAAATTAAACTTAAAAATCTAGTTTATTTTATTAAAGTAAAAGTTTGGTGGGTTGCCTATTTTTTTTAAATTTATTTTTTAATAAATTAAATGACTTTTTCTTTAATATTTCAACTAGAAAACTTCAAACCAACAATAAAAAACATAAATAGAAATTAAAAATCTAAAATTATCAAGAAATTTCATCTAAAATAGAATTATTAATAAGAGTTTTAAAACTAAAATTCAAGTATTAACCTTTAAACAATTAAAATAAATATTTTGAGTGTTTAATAAATAGATTAGTAGACTCACGAGTCAATCCGTCCCTATTTTAAAAGACATAAGACATGACGAACTTAAGACGAGGTGGATTGAACAGATAGAAGGACACAAAATCTCAACCAACTCAACATTTTTTGGTGGGTGCAAGGGACGACATTAATAGTGATGTTCGCGGTTTGGTTTGAATCGGTTTTGAAGCAAATATTATCCGATCGATCTAAAGATAAATTTATTCACGGTTTAGTTCGATTTTGGATGATTGGTTAAAAAATACAATCCGATCCGATCCAATTTAATACAGTTTAATTTAGATCGATTTTTTGAATATTCAAATTACAACCTTTTATTAATATTTTAAAAATACTAATAAATAATAAATTTGACATAATAAATCAAAAATTAATATTACAAAATAAAAATTATAAAAATAAATAAATTAAATAAAATTAATAAATAATATTTTAAAAATAAATATCATCTAATATTAAATTAACACAACATACATACTAATAATTAAAAATAAATAAGTATACAAAATATATACGTGCAGTGGAGTTTGGTTTGAATAGATTTTAAAAAATTAATTAAAATTCAATTCAAATCGAACCGATTTTAAAAAATAACATTCAAATACATCTAAAAAGATTTGGCTTTTTTTGGTTATGGATCTTTTAAATTAATTTATAATTTTTATTTAAATCAGTTTAAATTTGAACACCTCTAATCACCGCGATGCATTCTACTCCCCTTTCTTGATTATTTATTTTAACGCGCTCCTGGTGATGTATTTTAGTGTTTAAAACAACTGATGAAATTAATTTAATTTATACTCAATCTAGCATAAGTAATTCTTTCAAGAAAATCTAATATAATACTATACTTAGAAGACAAATCTAATATATACTTTTTTTAAAGGCAGAAGTTTAATATAATACTTGAACGTTGAGGCTTAAGTTATCACATAAAAAATATGGGTATAATATATATTCAATTAAATAATAATATATGTATTCTAAATTAATAATAAGAAGCATTAAAGATTTTAAACCCACGTAATAATTTATTATTGGTGTATTTATTTAAAAATAAAATTTTATTTTTTCTTTTATACATTTCTAAAATATAATGAATATCCTACATTAAAGAAAAAACTTTTCTTTACAACGAAAATGATAAATTTGGACAACTAGGTAGATGATATTGCTTTAGTCTTTTAGAGACTAGGGTTTCCAAATAAAACTCCATAGGGGAAATTTGGTTGATTCTTCAAAAATGGTATTACTTCGGTTTGAAGCGATTGGGAGTGGAGAATATCTGTACACTGGTGCTTTGCTTTGCAGTGCAGCAGAGAGCTGATGAGATAGTAACATTATTAGATTGGAAGAAGATAATGCTGAGGTGACTAACAACATGCTATACTTGTCTGGTTAGTTGAGTGATGATAATGTGACTAAGCTTTCTTGATTTGGAAAAGTGGACCACGTGTCTACTAGGGTTTGTTCTATTACATCATCTTTGATACGTTGCTTCTATCCACTTACCATCTTGTTTCCCTTTCTCACTTTCTATCTCTTCTCTTCTGTACTTTCTTTTGTCTCTTTTATATTACAATAATGCTCAGACTCAGATTTTGGATATATGTAATACGACTAATAATAGAATGGTCAAACATTTTTATTTTGGTTTCAGTTTTTAGGATATCTTTTAAAAATATTTAATTTATTATATTATTTATAAAATAATTAAATTGAAAAGAATGAGATACCAGGAGAGTTAGAGTGAGAGAAATGAAATTGGGTAACTAGTTTGTTAGAGATGATCAAAAGATTATTGCCCGTTAGTACGGTAAAACAACTTAATTATAGGTGGTTAATTCGGTTATTGACCGTTAGTAGTTGGTTAATTCGGTTATTGATCGTTAGTACGATAAAACAAGTTATCATTGGATAGTTATAGATGGTTAATTCGGTTATTGAACATTAATACTAATGTGCAAGTGCAGTAAAACTTCAAGTATTTGTGTCTTATTAGTCCACAAAAAGGAGAAGGAGTAAGAAGTGAACTACCTGACTCTCTTGTGAAAGAGGGTATTTATACATGGCGTCCTGAAGACCAGGACGTGGGGTCCACAAAAAGGAGAAGGAGTAAGAATTACATGACCCTCTTGTGAAAGAGGGTATTTATACATGGCGTCCTGAAGACTAGGACGTGGTCTTCGCCCTAGTCCAACTGTCCCGTGATCTCCGGAAAGTGGGTTTGACCTGGTCTTTCGGAAGTGGGAAGTTGGTCAGTGACGTGTCCCCGCGGAGGGGAGCACGTGGAGAACGTGTGAAGGACACGTTGTCCTGCCCGACAGGGGGAGCAGGTTCTTCCCGCGGAGGGGGCAGTGTCTGGTCGATGGGAGAGTCTTGTGCTCGACACAGATGGGGGCAGGTTTTGCCCGCGGAGGGGCATTACCTGTCCGCCAGGCTGTCCGCAGAGGGGGCAGTGTCTGATCGATGGGAGAGTCTTGTGCTCAACACAGATGGGGCAGGTTCTGCCCGCGGAGGGGCATTACCTATCCGTCGGGGAGCACCTACCTGCCCGCGGAGGGGGCAGTGTCTGGTCGATGGGAGAGTCTTGTGCTCGACACAGATGGGGCAGGTTCTGCCCGCGGAGGGGCATTACCTGTCCGCCGGGCTGCCCGCAGAGGGGGCAGTGTCTGGTCAATAGGAGTGGAGGGGGCAGTGTCTGGTCGATGGGAGAGTCTTGTGCTCAACACAGATGGGGCAGGTTCTGCCCACGGAGGGGCATTTCCTATCCGTCGGGGAGCACCTACCTGCCCGCGGAGGGGGCAGTGTCTGGTCGATGGGAGAGTCTTGTGCTCGACACAGATGGGGCAGGTTCTGCCCGCAGAGGGGCATTACCTGTCCGCCAGGGACCTTGTGCTCGAAGGCTGCGGACCAAGCTGGACTTGACTTGGCAGAATATTATTGGGCTAGGCCTGCCTGGCCAAGCCGGGGCCCAGGCCAGAACAGGAGCCCCCCAAGTCGTAGCTCCGAGGGAGGGAGCGAGGACTTGATGACATTGTGACAGGCTTGAGGACACGTGTCGGCGGGGAGACATGAGGGGACGCGACTGTCAGCCTTCGCCACGTGTCATGCGCTGGGTGGCCTCTAGGGCGGCTACCCTAGGGTACT